TCCCCTCCCCATGGATTTGGGGGTCCCCAGGGCCATCCCTGGTCGGTTTTGGGGTCCCTGGGGCCTCTCAGGTCCCTTCGCAGTGGGTTTGGGGTGCCCAAATTCCCCAAAGTTGGGTTTGGGGGTTCCTGGGGTCCCTCCCAGGTGGATTCTGGGACCTTGGAGGTCTCTTCTCAGTAGGTTTGGGGTGCCTGCAGTCCCTTTCCTGTGGGTTTTGGGGTCCCCAGGTGTCCTTGATAGGTTTTAGGGTTCCTCAGGGGTTTGGAGTCTCATCCCAGGAGGTTTTGGGGTTCCTGGGCTCCGTTCCCTGTGGGCTTTGGGGTCCCCAAATCTTTCCCTGCTCTATTTTCTGGTCCCTTCCTGGGGAATTTGAGCTCCCCTTCCTGATGCTCCTGGAACCCATTTGGGGGACTCTGGGGTCTTCACTTTCTCCTGCTGGTTGGGTTTGGGGGTTCCCTATCCCCCTGGGACCGGTGGTGACTTTGGGGACCCCCCTGTGCCCCCTCCCCAGCGAGAGTCGTCGCGGCGCCTGGCGGAGACGCGGGCGCTGCTCCAGCGCAGCCGCGCGGCCGCCGAGGAGGCGCGGAGGAAAGAGAGCCTGCACGCCCAGCTGGTGGGACTGGGGGCTCGGGGGGGCTCTGGGGGGGCCCTGAGGGGGTGCCCAGGGGAGGTTTGTGGGTGTTTTTGGGGTGCCCAGGGGAGGTTTGTGGGTGTTTTTGGGGTGCCCAGGGGAGGTTTGTGGGTGTTTTTGGGGTGCCCAGGGGAGGTTTGTGGGTGTTTTTGGGGTGCCCAGGGGAGGTTTGTGGGTGTTTTTGGGGTGCCCAGGGGAGGTTTGTGGGTGTTTTTGGGGTGCCCAGGGGAGGTTTGTGGGTGTTTTTGGGGTGCCCAGGGGAGGTTTGTGGGTGTTTTTGGGGTGCCCAGGGGAGGTTTGTGGGTGTTTTTGGGGTGCCCAGGGGAGGTTTGTGGGTGTTTTTGGGGTGCCCAGGGGAGGTTTGTGGGTGTTTTTGGGGTGCCCAGGGGAGGTTTGTGGGTGTTTTTGGGGTGCCCAGGGGAGGTTTGTGGGTGTTTTTGGGGTGCCCAGGGGAGGTTTGTGGGTGTTTTTGGGGTGCCCAGGGGAGGTTTGTGGGTGTTTTTGGGGTGCCCAGGGGAGGTTTGTGGGTGTTTTTGGGGTGCCCAGGGGAGGTTTGTGGGTGTTTTTGGGGTGCCCAGGGGAGGTTTGTGGGTGTTTTTGGGGTGCCCAGGGGAGGTTTGTGGGTGTTTTTGGGGTGCCCAGGGGAGGTTTGTGGGTGTTTTTGGGGTGCCCAGGGGCGGTTTGTGGGTGTTTTTGGGGTGCCCAGGGGAGGTTTGTGGGTGGTTTTGGGGTGCCCAGGGGAGGTTTGTGGGTGTTTTTGGGGTGCCCAGGGGAGGTTTATGGGTGTTTTTGGGGTGCCCAGGGGAGGTTTGTGGGTGTTTTTGGGGTCCCTGCTGAGCCCCCCCGCAGGTGGCCGAGCTGGAGGCGCTGCCCCGCGAGGTCTCGCGCGCCGTTTACACCCAGCGCATCCTGGAGATCGTGGGCAACATCCGCAAGCAGAAGGAGGAGATCGGCAAGGTGGGGGCATTCCGGGGGGGTCCTGACATTTTTGGGGGGTTCTGACGTTTTGGGGGGACCCCAACTCTTGTGTGGGGGGGGGCAATGGGAGAGTTTTGGGGTCCCTCAGGCAGCCTGAAGGGGTTTGGGGCCATCTTGGGGTGTTTGGGTCTGTTTGAGGTTTTAGGAGGAGCTGGGGGGGTTGTGGGGGGCTGTGTGCACCCCCAAATTGGGGAGGGGGTTTTGGGGGGTCTGACCCCCGCCCCCCCCCAGATCCTGGAGGACACGAGGGCGCTGCAGAAGGAGATCAACGCCCTGGTGGGGAAACTGGAGAGGACCTTCAGCGTCACCGACGAGCTGCTCTTCAAGGTGGGGGGCTGGGGGCGCCCCGAAATGGGGGTGGCACCCCAAAATGGGGGGGCACGCTGGGATTTTGGGGGCTGGGGGAGAGGTGGGTTCAGTGGCATCCCCTGAATGGGGTGTGCCCAAAGGGATGAGGTGCTGGGAGCCCCCCAAAGTGTCACATGTGCCCTACAACTGTCCCTGTGCTGCTCCAAAATGTCACATGTGCCCCCCAAAATGTCACATGTGCCCCCCAAAGTGTCCCTGTTCCCCCAAAGTGTCCCTGTCCCCCCAAACTGTCCCTGTGCCCCCCAAAGTGTCCCTGTCCCCCCAAAGTGTCCCTATCCCCCCAAACTGTCCCTGTGCCCCCCAAAGTGTCCCTGTCGAGAAAAG